CACACACACACACACACACACACACACTCACCCTGGTCATTAATGGTTACCTGTGGGCAACAGTCATCAATGATGTGAGTGTAAACTAAGGTATTTAAATACTGAACCACATACCTACAAATTAAAAAAAGGTTACATTTTTTCAAAATAAAAGCCCAGGTGAAAGAAGAGTTTGTTTGATTTTTAAAAAAGGCTTATTATTTAACTGAAAATTTACAATAAAATAAAAAGACTGATCTGTGGATTTCAGGTATTATTTTATAATTATTATGAGGGTGTGTTGTCTGTTAAAAGCATTTAACACAAAACTTCTTTCTTCTGAGCTCTAGAAAAAAAAATTACATTGAAAAAATAATTACACCAATCACCAATAATATTATGACCACATGGCCAAAAAGGAGTAGGTCCCATTACAATATCTGGCCAGTCTGTCTGCTAATGTTTGAAGTTTGTGATTTGTGGGGTTGGGTTTCTGTGCATTGGATTTGCTCCTCACATATCCCATCTGATTATTATCAAGAGAACTGAAACTCTTTTTTTTTGTCTGTGATGCTGATGGTTCATATTGGGAAACATTGAGTATAGGACATGGGTTTTGGCTGTCCTGTTAAAATGTTTAGATAGGTGGCAATTGTCAAAATGTCATTAATACTGTATTAGACAGCAGGATATGCCACTGTAGCAATATGAGCAGACATTTTAACTGTTTGTGGTCATAATTATACTGTTGATCAGTGTAAAAAAAGAACATTTAGGGAGCAATTGAATCTACACACACATTGGGATGTGATCAAATTGCACCACTCATGCAGATCTCATTAATCTTTTCACACTCAAAAGAAGTAAAGTAGGATCAAACGTTTCCTCAGATTAAATGGCTCCCAGAGGAGTACACAGGCATTACACCTGACATGCGCTTTAGTCAAAAATAAAAATAAAAATAATTTCATTAAGACAGGTCCACAAACACTGCTGCCCAAATCTGAGATTTTAGAGGCATATCAGTCCGTGACATTATACCTAGGCCAGGTACAAATGTGTGTATCAAGGCTTAAAAAGCATCAAAACCTCATATTATGAGCAACAAGGCAAGCATTAAACACCTTTATGTGGTTGTGTTGCAGCATGCAGTTACCAAACAGCATGAAGAGGACAGAATCAAACAGAAAGGCATAGCCACCGCAGTACAGGTATAAGGACAGGTACGTAGATGCAGACGGTTGCAGTAACTTCTGTGCAGTTGGATTGTTTCTCAAACACCAAACTGACAGGAAGTGACCTCACTTAAGAACATCTACTCGAGAGACGCACGAGCATGACTGTACATGGTGGCTGAGACACACGGAACATTTAAAAATAAAGAAAACGCTCATTCGCACACAGGTTCTCCCTCTCGAGGTAGTCGCACGCACTCAGACGCACAAAACATGCACAGATGGACACACGTGTAGCACTGAGAACATGACAGGATCATGGAATGCAAAGGTGAAATGTGATGCAGGTGAATTAAACTCTGGTTTGGATAAACCTAACGCTATCCAAATTCAGCACCTCCATGCCTTTAATAAGTGCGAGGAGTTATCAAAACAAAATAAAGTGTTGCAGTGATGCTGGTTTATTCAATTCATTTGGACAAAACATGCTGTTGTATCAACCACTGCCTGCAGCAATGGAAAATAATCAGTCAGTGTATCTCAAGATTAAGAGCAACAGATGATTAGTGCTTTTAGGCACCACATCTGATCAGATGTATACATATACAGAGTCGTCACTGATTTTCAGACAAAGACCCCACAAAGTACTGCTCTGGCAATGATTTATAAAAAAAGAATAAAATAAGCAATGATTGCGATGTTTAGCTTCTCAGAGCCGACACACAAAAAGGGTTTAAACTGAGCAACACTGAAAAAGAACTGAATGTGAGAAAAAACAAAGTAAGCAAAGGGTCTGGTTAAAGACAGAACTGAAAAGATCAAATAAGAGGTAGATATGGAGAGGGTGAGTGTTTGGCCTTGGTACACCGACAACAGTAAAGACAAAGAAACATCACTTCTACGAACATGTCCAATTTATCTATCCTCTCTCTTTTCTCTCTTTCTCTGCCTGCAAAGAAGTTAGTGCATTAAGCACAAGGGACACCATAAAAAAGTCAGAAAAAAAGAGGCCTGTGAGATAGTGTTTGGAAAAAAATCCTTGGGGGAAACTCCCAAAGTCAGAGGCTTTAAAGTGGTGGAGATTGGGTGGAACTTTGGAAGTAAGATAAGGTAGAGGGCATACCGCTTTCGGCTTCTGCAAACAACAAGAAAAAATCTCAAATCAAACAGTTATCATCGACACAAAAGGAAGAGGATAATAACACTGTCGCTAACAATTCTCTCCAAAATCACTAGACATGCCAAGCATATGGTGCTCGTCCGAAGCTGAAGTCCTTTCACCTAAAAAGTGTTACAACTACTTAAAAAAAGAAGTATATTTATAAAAAAAATGGTTATCCTCTTACAAGACTCGCACAGAAAAACGTGTCAATAAATGAAAAGATCTGAAAGCATACTGGAAATGAAAACAAATCATTCAATTTTATGTAAGTAAAAAATCTGAAGAGAGGGGAAAAACAGATAAAAACATATATAATGTTAGGATTTTAACATTAATTGCATGTACTGATGTTCAAATGAGCACCCCTAAAACACAATTGGTCATGCAGCTTTGTCAGTACACAGAAAAAAAAGGACATTTGACACAGGCGAATGGGGAGGGGTGGGTGGGATTTGGCAGTTGAGAAAACAGAAAAGGTAGCACTTGGATTGCTACGGGTAATGGAGCCAACACTAATGTAGAGTTTGTGTCAATCATACAGACTGAACAGGGATGCTGCAGAATCAAGCTGAGGAGATAATATGAAATTTAAATGTGCAGCAATTTAATTAGTTTAGGAACAAAGCACAGCGAATGTTCGGGTCACCTCATTCTCTGCAGCCACGTTTCATCAGTTTATCCCTAACTTGCATTTTGTTTTTGTATATGCTAATTATGACTATGACATACTACATATTTATTATTGAGATAACACATGTTTATTACATACTTATTACACAGTTATTATGCAGTTATTACACTTTTTTAATAATCTGGATTTTTTTAAGTAATTAAATTAATGTTGCGGTGTGACTGAGGAATGCTTTAGATGTTGAAATCTAGTGGTCAGTTTAAAAAAATGATTAAAAACAATATTTTGTTAACCTACAAGGAATTAGAAGGAATTGGAGCAAAGGATAAAATTGTATAAGATTAAGTAAGAATTTAGTATGGTATTGCTTTAAAAATATATTTATATTTGAAATAAAACAAGATAAGGGTAGGACTAGATCAGCATTAGCTTAATCCACTTCCTTTTTAAATATTTTGTTTGGTTTTCTTTGACATATTTTTAAGTCTTGCTATATTGTTTTTTTTTTATTCATCTTTATTTTTTTTAGAAATTTTTCATACACATTTGAAATAAACTTTAAAATACAATGAAAATGTTTCGCAGGCCTTAGAATAAATATGTATCCTTTTAATTGGATTACTGGAATTAAGAATTACACTGATATGCTGAATTAAATACAGATAAAATACAATATGTTAAATTTATATAAAGTAATAAAAACAGATTATATTTCTAAGTTGTATTCTTAATCCATTATTTAACTATATCCTAAGTTTATAGCTGTAATTGTGAAACTTGTGTGCTACAACTGAAGTGTTCATCAGACTCTTTTCATAAAATCTGCAAAAAGTACTTAATGTGTTTTTTTTTCTTAAAAACTCCACTTGAAACAAACCCCTCTGCAGCTCAGCGATCGTTCAGTTATAACAGACATTACTCAAAGGAAGATTCACTTTACAAACCTGCTCTCTCTCTGCTCAGACTTAAATTCAATGGCAATGAGCAACAGCTTCAGCTTCACGTAGCACAGCCTGTAACCCAAACACAGATCATTAGAGAAGACAAGTACAAAAGCAGATGACTGCTGTTTTCAAACATTTCCGAATCCCCACAGACCCTCGTTTGTCTGACTCCATCACCATCCCATAATAATTCAGAAGTGGAGGGAAACTTACTCGCAGACAGTGGGGAAGGACAGGCCTACAAAGGCACTAGACAAGTACTCTGTGTACATCTCATTAGCCACTCCTTCAAGGTAATACTTTTGCCATGTGTCCTCTTCAATCTAACAAAAGAAAAAAAGCAGAAAAAGCATAGATTTGACAAATATGTGGATAAAAACAGCAAGGAGAAAATAAAGCTGCACTAAATCCCCTCCAGCAGCAGTCCAATGTGGTCTGCAGATGTTCTCCTGCAAAGCATCAGCTTGGTCATTATAAGCTGATCCATCATCTTTATGACATGAGAACAGCTCTTTGATAGAAGCAAGCACCTCAGTGTTTAGCCACAAAACGCTGAACAGATTCCACATGGGATGTCACTTTAAAATATGATTTGCCAGAATGACTGTAAACACAGTAATGGAAGTATTTGTCTGGAAAAAGAAGATGGCAAAATTCCCATGGAATGAACTGTCTGATAGATCTAGACCATCTGTCAGAAGATAACCTACAGCACAGTATTCACATATGTTAACCTCATCCTCAATAATGAAAAAAAACCAACAACGGTACAAACGTGAAACGTCAGAGTCTGTTCAGATGGACACATAATGCAAGTGAAACTGTCCCTTTAAGTTACCTCAATAAAGGACCTCATGGAGAAGAGATTGGCTAGCATCGTCGACAGGCCCTGGGCCAGACAACTCTGGGCAATGAAGCCTGCCTTCAGCTCCGCCAGGCAAATAGCATCATCGCCCTCTTTCCAGTTCCAGCTTGGAATGTTCAGCAGATGGGCCTTTGTTGCAAAGGATACAAAAAAGTCATTAAACAAGGGTAACTACACAGTTAGCAAACATTTCTTAAAGAAATGGTTCATGGAGTTTAAAAATAATTATATTATTAATCAAAAGCTTGAGCCAACAAATAGCAAGAAACGTTGCACTGGTTGGTTGGTAACACAGACGGCTACGCAGACTGCTCAATTAAAGTCAATATCCTGACCAAAAAATATGTAAAAACCCACTCGACATGTTGTGATTTTCTTAAATTATAACTTTTGAAAAAAATTTAAAAAATAATACAGGAGATAATCATTAGCTATTTAGCTCAGCTTGTAACTGTATTAAATTTATTTACAAAAAAATGTACAAATGAGGTGTATAAA